TTAATTTAGCTTATTTTTAATTCCTGACGTTTCAGTTCCCCACATGAATGTGGTTGCCGCAAAGCACCCGAAACCTCGTGAATTAAAAAAGCTAAATTAAACTTGATAAAATCCGTAGAAGTAGTTTTATTCAATGACCACGTGATTGACGAGATACCATTATTTTTGATAGCTGGTTGAAATTAAAGTTTGTTGAAAATTGACCTTGATCATGCTACTATAAATTTTATACTTAAGTACGACTTAAATTTACATTTTACAATTTACAAAAAATCTATTTTACAGAATTACATAATTTCGTTGACAAATATACAAACTCGAAGAGATATATTTTTCGTGATTGATATGTTTATCGACGTCGTTATATCTATTTTTATAGATCTGAAGCGGGTATGGTCCTATATTGTTTTAACTATTCTGTGCGACGCGGCGTACGCCGTAATTCTATGTTGTAGTTATAATTCCCACTAGATTAAGAATAAAGAGTAATCACTGTAGAATTACTTGTATCTTTTATTTTCGTTGTGCCTATGGGACCTTGTGATCTGTTTTAAAAGGTCTTTTATTTTTGTTGACTTGACGTGATCCATGCGGTGATTTCATGCAGTAATATCAAGTGATAATTTCAAACATTTTACGAGACAACAACGTCGGGACCATTTTTGTTTCAATAGAGCTATTCACCGTGTGGTTCATGCATTTACTTTAACACTATCCAGTCTGTTTTAGGTACATTATTTAATTTTGATGTGTCATCGAAATCTGTACAAAGTTTATTGGATATCTTCGATTTGGCTTTTAAGCACAGGTATGTAGCAAAATGACTAAACAAATTTTTTCGCATTTTGTATTTACAAGCTCCCGACAAAGAATGATTTTTTTTAACTAAAGGTTTGCTTTTGTCTATATGCCTGTGCTAGTTCTATTTAAAAAAAATATTGTTGATTTATTTTCTTAAACGGTGAGGAATGTAAGTTTCTTTTTTTAAACAAAGAACGTGGCTTGTAATCGTATTTTCTTGCAGTCTGGCTTTATCGCAAAAACACTATTTTATTAAGGTTTGATTAAGTGTAATTTTAAGATGTGTAAATAAATACACAGGACTGCAATGTTTGGCTCTGTTGCGTCACTCGAATAGTGTTTATTGTCAAAAGATCACCTTAAATATTTTAAAATTACCACACTCGATTCGATCTCTATATTTTCAGAAAAGTTATAAAAATATTTAAATATAATTTTTTTATATACATTATGACAAAATGTAATGCCAACTTTTATTAGAGTAGCATCAAAAGGGTTCACCATTTATCTACCGGTCTCATTTCTAACATTTCCGAGAGTCCTAGACAATAACTTGTGTGAAATCGACGAAAACTGTTTGAATTGAATTCTGTGAAGTAAACTAATAATTTTTAATTAGCATAATACATTAAAATTTAAGCCTTATGAGTGTTTTAAGTTAATTCTTGAATGCACTTCAGTGTTCTTATTGAGTATAAGACTTGCAATCTTGTTATATTGTGTAATGGTGTCACATCAGTTGCTTGTTTTTTTTTAGGTGCTGCTTTCGTGATGGGAGCGTAGCTAGGGATTGATTGGTCTAAATGTGGTTAAACAGCACTAGAGTTCTACTATGTCAATAAATTTACGTATGAAATTTAAGTAACTATATCGTAAATATATAATATAAAAATGAGGGGCTGCCTGCATTGCTGAGCTAGCCAAGTCGATTTTCTGCGAATCATTACTGCTGATAGGAAACTGAAAATGAATGGGAATGACATATCTCAACGTAAGGACACTTGACGCTGACTTGACTTAACGCCGATTTCATTTATTGTTATGGTTTTCTATTAGCGAGGACGATTGTCGAAAGTCAACTTTGTTAGCCCTGCAGATCTTCAAAGCCAAGCTACGCCTTATCATGATAAAATCTGACGTTTCACTGACGATGTAACTTGTGGCCGAAACCGTCGCTAAGTCCGTGGTTGAGCTATAAACTTCTAGATTTAAGAAGGTTCGGACGCACCAAGATTTCGGATGCGTTCTGGAATGGAGATAGTCTGTTATTGTCTATATATGATCTCCTTTCCGAAATGTATCGCTTTTTATAATCCCGTTCTTTAAATATATCCATCTGCGGGATTGTACAGTCTATTTCATCATTCAATTTTGTTAACGTCCTAATAAGATCTCTTGGTGCGTTCGAACTTCTTAGTTGTAAGGTAGATTTAATCAACATTAAATGTGTATTTGTGAATTTTAACCTTATTTTGGTTGATGTTTCTTTAAATGGTGTAAATGGTTGAGATCAGTAGAGGCGTAGTGACACGGAGTGATAGCGAGTGACTGGTTCCCCCTTTTACAATTGGAATATAGATAATAAAGTAAATAAAAAGTTTGAAAACGTTCATTTTATTTTCACCTCTCGTCACTATACAATTATGTATAAATATACAATGTACAAAAATACAAAATTTTTACAATCAATTAATACATAATTTTATTTTTTAATGCAGAGTGGAATACACATTTTATATTTTAAAATTTATATCTTATTACTTATTTCAAATGTACAAGTTTTGAACATCTTAAAGAGGTATAATTTATTATTAATTGAGCCATTAAATGTTATTAATACTAGCTGGCCCGGCTGTGGCGCGAAGAGTTTCCCTCTGACTTTTAAAAGTGTAAATTTAACGCTTATTAAAAAAACCACAGCGCCATCTACCCCGTCCAGATTTTGTAATTTTATTTTTGATACTAGACCACAACACAAGTGAATATGAAATGAATACGAGTAATTTTGGTCCACAATTATATAATTTATTAATAACACTAATACGCCGTACCTATCAGATCCTAAAAAACTATGATCTCAAACAAACAATAATAATAGTGTTAATTTGACCTCAATTCGTCAAGTCATTCAGAAGTTATGACTACAGACGCACCAATGATTATATATTATAAAGATAGGATCATGATCCATAAAAGTTATTTGCTTCGCCATTTCAGATGAATTGGTATAAATAATTAATTCACATTGATGAATTAGCACTTTTCGTTACGACCATGTAATGTTCGAATTTCATTATGAAGAAATTTAAAGATGAAAAATAAGCTACATCGTTGCAGTAATTACCTAAGAGAAGTGTGGTTAAAGTTTAAAATGGACATTAGTGCCTAGAGATACTGTTCCTAAAAACAATACATAATTGAAATGCTGGAATTTCAATTTCAACATAATTAAATAAATTTTTAGTTTTTGTTTATATACTACGGAAAACTTTAATACTTAGCTACTACAACTTTTCAGTACCTACCTCGTTTCATATATAACAAATATATTTTGCTTTCATATACACCTATGTAAAAAAGTTACAAATTTTTACTTGGAATGTGATGAATGGGTTTTGATATAATTATGTAAGATTTATAAAAAATATTTTCTATTAGCATACCTACCCGCATCATGTTAGTAAAATAATAGAAAAAATAGAGAACATAGTATTATGTAGTACATTTTATATCTCTTATTAAAAATAACAAGAGTATTATATAGAGGAAGGAGCAGGGAAGAGTCCACCGTCGCACTGCTTTAGTGTGTGTTGACAGAGTTCACATGTCCTTGAAACATTTAAAATCTCTTCGGTATGTAAGTTTCGTAATTAAGGAGTATGTTAGGTCAATCTGCATGACATAGTGAGAAACGGTTTATTCACTATTGCATTTAAACCAAATTACACTTCCTTGTTTTAAATAATAATAAGTAATTTATAAATGACTTAATGTTACCTATGACATCCTGTATAAATTAGTCTCAATAAAAGAAATTTTAAAATTTGTTAAGTATTGTACTCGTAAACCTATCCAACTGCAGAGAGGTGTAAGACAGGGTGACGTTATATCCCCGAATCTTCACCGCTGCATTGGAAGAAGTTTTAAAGCTACTGAACTGGAAAGGATACGGTTTTAACATCCATGGCGAGTACATCACTCACCTTCGATTTGCCGACGATATAGTCATGGCAGAATCGCTGGAGAACCTAAGCGCTATGCTCAATGACCTCAATAGTGCCTCCCAACGGATAGGTCTTAAGATGAACATGGACAAAACAAAGATCATGTTTAACATCCATCTCACATCTATGCCGGTAGTTGTTGGGAGCACTAAGTTCGAAGTTGTTGACGAGTATGTTTACCTGTGACAAATAGTCCCACTAGGTAAGGCCAACTTCGGCCGAGAGGTCAATCGACTGATTCAATTCGGCTGGGCAGCGTTCGGAAAATTACGACACATCTTCTCGTCAGCTATACCTCAAAACCTGAAAACGAGACCACAACAGTACGTGTTGCCAGTGATGACATATAGAACTGAGACGGTCCTTCACTGCTGGCTGTATGAGGACGCTCAAGGTCATTTAGTGAGCTTTAGATAGAGCTGTGCTCAGGGTTTCTCTGCGTAATAAACTTAAAAATGAAGATATCCGCAGTAGAATAAGAGTGGCTGACGTAACCCAACGGATTAGTAAACTAAAGTGGCAATGGGCCGGTCATAAAGCTTAAAGAATTGACAACCGAAGGGGAAAAGGGGTTCTCGAGTAGCAGCCTCGTACCAGTAAGCGAAGAGTCAGATCGGTGCAGAGAGTCGACGGATGCAGGTGGCTCAAGACTCTGCTTTGTGGAATTCTTTGGAGGAGGCCTATGTTCAGCAGTGGACTGTGTGAGGGGCTGTAATGATGATGATGACGAAAGAAGTCTTAAGTGCGGTGTGGACCTGAAGCTTTTGGAATTGTAAACTAATTTTTTGTGACTATAATATTATGATAGGAGGGATTGAGTTATCGTCAAATTGTGTCTTTATTTATGCCTAGAGTGTTTTAAGCGTGTATGTGTGTGTGTAGTCGCAATTACATCTGTATGGGTTGTGTCTAAAGTGTGGCACCAGTGCACTTGTGCGTGTGTCTGGTGTGTGCAGGCGTTGATGCAGTCTGCGGTCACAGCTCGGTCTCTGGCTTGTGGCGCGCGTGCGGCGCTCGGCGCGCGCGTCGTTCGGGCCGCACGTGCGGCTGCGACGCGCCCGCACACTCGGACTGCCGCGAGCTATCGTTGTCGCCGCTGTCCACGTCACCTGACATTTGGATATATGTTGAGAAATTTATCATAAATTTGGCTTATATTTGGAAACCGTCACCTGATAATGAACTAACAATAACATTTTAAAATTGATCAAGCGTTGTCAGCACCTTAAGCATCATAAAAATAATCTTCGGATAATGGAATATTATACTCAATTATTCGAAGATTATTTTTAAGAAATTAAAAATTTACTTAAAATATTTAAAACGTAAATAAAACAAGCGTAGCTAGTGATACGTTTACCTAGCAACGCAAATTTCAATAGTTAGTTGCGGTAAACATTTTAGAGCACCTAATTTTTAAACTTTGCACCCAATTTTTAAACTTGGCACCTAATTTTTAAACTTAAGAGGGCATATGCTTTTCGCGTCGAAAACTACATGTTTTATGGCTTTTCCAAAGGCGATATCGTAACGACGTGAGGAGATTATTTGCTTAAAATTAGGGCTTTAGAAAGATGAAGTCTTTATTTAGTACATAGCAATGCAAAATCATAGTTTTTAATGACAGTTTTTTTTAAGGCGAAGACAATCCCTTCACAGTGTTTTACGAAAATATGCATCAGAGTTATCTTTCAGGTTGAATACAACCATTATTATAAGCTAAAATACTTTATTTTAAGCGTTATTATAATGGAATATATAGTCTTTTAGTGTATAGCAAAACCTAAATTACGAAAATATTTCGATTTAATATTATAAAATCACCAAAACTGTCTACTTCAATGTAATTTTTCCATGTATTTGCTTATAAACATATCTACTTTAATTATTTTATCAAAATACATGTAATGTTAAATATCCAAAAAAAAATTTAGCTCGTTTTATTTTGTCAATTATTTCATATAATTATTTTAAAAATACTATAAAACATCATGCGCAGGCACTGTTCGACTGCGCCCTCTTTTCCCAAAAGAGGGTCGCTCATGATAAGGCACAATAGAGCTTAATCAGCCGGCTGCCTGTCCCCAAAGGCGGTTTTTAGAGGGTATCACTTAGGGTCCCCGGTAGGACAGTGAGCCCCTCATAACCACGATAGACCGGCTATCGTGGTATGCGTAATGCATTTTCCGCCTCCCTACGTATAGGGTAGCCCTTTAATTGCTTCGGGCGCAAAAAAAAAACATTCGATTCAGTACGCTCCGGGTAATCCCAACGACAGGACGTATCACTTTTTCTCACCGACACCGCGCGATCGCGTTGATACACCGATAGGGATATACTACACTATACTATAACTAGCTACCTATAGCACCATCGCGCATTTTAAACGATTGAGACTTTTATAAGCGATATTTTTGGTGGTAGTAAGTAATTTTCAAATATGTTTATGATTGTAATATTTAAATATTAAATGATGTAATGGTGGCAAATTTTCATTTCATACACATATTTTTTTAGAAATGAGTAATGAACGTAAGCAATTCGGATCAAGTAAAAATACAAAATCGTTGGCTTTCACCTTTGGCTCCGTGGCGGAGTGACTTGGTAATGAGTTGTAGCGCTGAGCGCCGCAGGTTCGAATCCCACATTGAGCAAAAATTTGTATTACCTACAAATAATTGTTCCAGGTCTGGATGTTTGTCCTTGTGAAATTAATGTATTTAAACTGCCCCAACGATGTACTTAGGAAAAATTCCTAATGCGGAGATAACGTTATGATTAAACAAAGACATGCCATCAATAACATAACTTGTAAAATAACCAAGTCTCGCAATGATGATACGGCCGTGCCGCTGTTTTGCTCGACTTGGCGGGGGCACTACCGTGCCCCCAGACATAAAACATATGAGCCGTGCTTGAGTTGAGTAGCTCAACTGCGTAGTGCTCGCTGTAAACGCGAACAATCCGGGCTCGATCGCCGCTAGTGTTGCCAGGTGTCCCGATTTGCGCGGGACGTCCCGATTTTCAAGGGTCTAGTGACACGACCCGATTCACCCTCGATCGGGACGCCAAATGTCCCCATTTTCACTAACATTCTTATTCTATACTTTAATCCATAATTTAGACAGCAAAAATGATTATATCTGTTAGCTACTACCACATTAAAATATTTTTACTACGACATTGTCGAAAAAAACCACAAAAAGTTTTAAACAGAATTATATTAAAATGAGTGATTTGAAAAATTCAAGGACTGCAAAAAAAAAAAACAAATAGTTCAAAAATGTTTTAATTTGCTTAAAATGAAAAACAAAATCAGTTTTTACGATGTTTGTATGAAAAGTTATTCGTTTATGAGATCAGACCCGAATAATAATTATAAAGCTCAAAAATAAAGTAAAGTTACAGTCACAATTTTTCGCATTACTCGCATGTGATATTTACACTTTACAGTTAGCGTTGACCATCTGAGCTACCACGGCTCTCAATAAAGCACAAAAAAGGCTACAAAGAAACCTATATTTTGTAGTCAATGTAGTTGTCCGGATATGAAAACCAAATCCCCGATTATTTTTACCTTCCGTCCCGAAATTTTACTTGCTAGACCTGGCCATAATCCCCGGACACTAATGAAATTGTTAGTTTGTGATGAATTATGTTTACATTATGAAACAGAATAAAAGTTTATCAAATGATATATATTTTATACAATACATATTTTTCAATCAGAACATATTATTATTGTGGGGTATCTATATAGTTTTCTCATCTGGTTGGGTTCTATAAATATATAATTATAAATGAGAATGAAAAGATAAATATACATACATATCAATAACATAAAATAAATATAAAAATACTTAAATAAATAAAAGCCCAACCAGATGGAGGCCCTCGGCAGGGGAGACCAAACGGCCGAGGGTTAGGGGGAAAGGGAAAGAAACCGGCGGACGATGCGGGCGGTATCGAGGAGCACCGCCTTCTGCATTTGAGCCCGGAGCGGTCCGCCACGTAGTCCCAGTCGCCTCAGATGACCCGAGAGGCTGACTGGGATTAGCCCGTTTGCAGAGACGACTACAGGAATAATTTCGGTCGGCAGACCACCCCACATGTCGGTCACCTCGTGAGCCAGGTCCAGATATTTTGTTTGCTTGTCTGTTTCGGCTTTCACGAGGTTCTCGTCATACGGAATGGTAATGTCGACCAAAAATATCCTTGACTGTGCCCGGTCCATCAGCACAATATCAGGCTTATTCGCAAGAATAGTCCTGTCTGTGATGATGGCCCGGTCCCAGTAGAGCCTGGCGCGGTCATTTTCGAGCACGGCTTCCGGCAAGTACTTGTAATACGGCAATTTCCGGTCCACGAGACCGTATTTCAGAGCGAGCTCCTGGTGTAGAATTCTGGCTACTAGGTTGTGCCTGTGCAAGTACTCAGAGTTAGAAAGCGCCGAACAACCGGAGATGACATGCCTAAGTGATTCACCGGGATGGCGACAAGCTCGACAGACGTCGACGGTGCCATCCTTTAGGATGTATTTCCGATAGTTATTGGTCTTAATAACCTAATCCTGTATTGCACAGACAAAAGCCTCGGTTTCCCCGAAGAGGTCACCGAAACGTAGCCAGTTGAGGGAGGCGACTGTATCTACGAAGGGCTCATGAAGAGCCCTGTAGTACCTCCCGTGGAGCTCCTTCTCCTTCCATACGGTCTCCCGGTCGGAAATGCTAAGCACTGCTGGGTCCTGCCATTGCTCGTTGGCTAAGGATAGAGGGGTAAGCCCTTTATCACTAGAAATGACGTCATTATAGAATGGATCATCCGATCTCGCCAGGAAGTAATCACGGAGGCTGCACACTTCGCGATTATGCATGGTGAGCGCGCTCAAGAAGCCACGACCACCATGCTTCCGCGACAAGTACAGCCTCATTACCGACGATCTCGGATGATGCATCCTATGGGACGTCATGGTAGTGCGGACTTTTCTATCCAGGGCGTTAAGTTCAGTCTGAGTCCACCTGAGTATGCCAAAGGTATACATGAGGACAGGCATGACCCAGCCGTTATATGCGTGTGCCTTATTCACACCGGACAAAAGGCTGTTAAGCACTTTGGTCAAGCGTGCATAAAACACGTCGCAAACTGACTGTTTCATACCAGTCTCATCGATACCGATGTTTTGTGACATACCCAGGTATCGGTATGTTTCAGCCTCGGAAAGGGTCCTTAAGTTGACGGGCATAGATAAGTCTACGCCCTCAGAGTTAGCAACCCTTCCCCTTTCAACATGGAGGACCGCACACTTATCCGTCCCAAGCTCCATTCCAATGGAATTGCTAAATTCACAAGTGATGTTTAGCAATTCCATAAGATGGGAGCGACTGGAGGCAAATAACTTAAGGTCATCCATATAGAAAAGGTGGGTCACTTTTGTCCCTCCTTTCCGTAGCTGAAATCCCCTCCCGGAGCCCTCCAGTAAGGTGCTGAGAGTCGATTCAGACAATCGCCCTGGAAGATACCCCTTCTTATCCTTATGTGGTTCTCCGCAGCCATCATCCGCTCGCCCAGATGACAAAGGATCGTACTCCACTGCCCCATACACTGCTCGAGGAAGTCTCTAACTGTACAGTCTATCTTGTACAGCTCGAGGACTCTCTTTAGCCATGTATGGGGCACCGAGTCGAATGCCTTTCTGTAGTCTATCCAGGCGGCGGAGAAGTTCCGACGGTTGCGTTTCACCACTTTGCCAATGACCGCCTCAGCTACGTCATCCGGCGTTATGATGACGGGGTCCATGGGCGTAATACTCGCACATTGACTCGCCACAACTTCCGTCCAAGGGCCCTCGTTGTGGTTTACGGGCTCTGACCACAGGCTGCGCCAGAATGCGACCATGTCGGCCTGATTTGGTGCAGGGCCCGTTCCACTTACTATTGGTCGCTCCAATGATTTATAGAGCCTCTTCTGATCACTCTGGAAGAGACGATTCTGGTTGAACCGTGTCGACCTTTCGGTATATCGCCGAATCCGCTTTCCCCAAGCAGCTATTCTTTGCTTCAGGTCGTCTATGCGCTCCGTCAGTTTTTGTATTATATCCGGCTGGGACAAACTAACATTTGTCCCAGCAAACGCCATCCTGACGGTGTGCACAATCCTTGGCCTGGTATTGCCTGACCTGAAGCATATCAGTCTGCCGATGAGGGCCCTAGCCTTTGCGATACGTTCTTCAATTCTTATTCTCCAGGCCGGGATAGCACTACTTTGTCCAGTAGCGCGTCCAGCCGTGGAAAGTTTGGCACCTATAATACGGCAGACTGCCAGTGCGGCGCCAAAAAGAATTGTGTCCGTATCGCAAAGGTCCCGGCTGGCTTCCAAATAGGTAACCAGCATTGGGTTCAGAGCCCTCACGACAGCCCGATTCCGCTTGCTTAGGGCTAAGCGGGGAAGTCGCGGTCGATTTTCGAGAGTCGTACTGCGCGTTTCCACAATCGCCTCTTCCAATGTACTCCTCATTTGCTCTAGTTCCAGTTCCTGGGCGACTGTTCCATCATCGTTTGAATCAACCACAACTGGCGTATTCACGGCGGCATCCACATTTGCCGTTTGCTCAGCAAGTTGTGGCGCCGCATCCTCAGCCGCAGCATTTTCACCCGATGAAGGAACAGCCTCACGTCGTAGCCGTTCGAGTTCGGTGACATCAAATGTATTTGAGCGCAAGATATACCGAACTCGGTCTGCCAGGTTTTTGCTCGGTGACGGTTACAGATGGCTACAGCTCAGCAAAAAGTCGATGCATCCTTGCCCGATACGCAAAACCTCCAGTTTCTCCCCCCTTTCGCCCTAAAATACGCCCGCAATGCGTTGCTGTTCATCTGGGTTGTCCAACGCATGCGGCGTACTCCACCAGTGGCGGGTGCCGATTGCTGAGCCCGCGAAGACCCTGCCGACACCAAGCCAACTGGTGGGGATGATGGATGCGAGGATCTGCTGGGTGGTCGTGCAGCACCTCGCGCTCGGCTGGCGGTTCACATGCTGTCGCGTCCAGTGCCAGCTCCAGACGCGCCCTGGCGATCTCCAGGCAGCGGCCCTTTGCGCGTTCCATTTGATTCCATCATCCATTTTAGGGCGTCATTTAGCGGGAGACGCCCAGACCCGGCGCCGTTATTTTATTATTATTATTATTATTATTAATGAATGAATGAGGAAAGAGTGACAAAGAAAATTTATGGTGCAGAAGTGAATGGCAGAGTCGGAAAGGGACGTCCTAGGCGAAAATTTATCGACCAAATTGGCGATTTATTGAAAACGGGCCAAATTAGGAGTACCCTTAACCGACCAGCATGTATGCGTAGGTGTATGGATGTGAAGGAGGCAGGAGAGGTGTGTCAGGATCGTGCCAAATGGAAGTCTGTAGTCTCTGCCTACCCCTCTGGGTGACAGGCGTGAGTGTTTATGTCTATGTCTATTATTAATAATAATAATATATACATATACATATTATAATATACCTACTCAATAGGGTGAAAATGTAAAGCCGACTTCAATTTACTAAAAGAATAAAACAATTTCCACATATTAGCCTCAGATTTCTATAGCCATTATATGGAAATTATTTTTTTATTATTTTAGTTCCAATAGTATCAAAGACAGGTATATAATCAAAGATCAAAGTGATTCGTAGTCGTCGTTAGGCAACTATTGTAGCCTTACGCTCGCCTGACACGCACACAGAGATAACATTGTAGTGTGCGTCAATATTACGCCGATCCAAAGCGATCGCGTAGATTTCGACTTGGACATATTTGAATATGCGCTCTTAACACCTAAAAGGCCCCTAATTTTGTTTTTTTCTAAATGCAAATTCCTGACTGTGTTGCTAGTGAGACACAACTGCAAACAGCTGAAGAGTTTCGTTTTTAATGCGTTATCACACTTGAAGACAGAGAATGCCTTCATAGAGCATTTTCCACAATACAAAAATGTCTGTCATTTTATGTGGGGTAAATCTGCGCACATAAAATAAAAGTTGCAATCATTTTTGTAGGATGTCAATTTAGCTGCTCAACTAGACTTAGTCTAGTGAGCAACGCTGCTACAATTAATTTTATTGACCGCATGGACTTATATTTTGACAGAGGGGAACGTCTGAGTATAAACTTCCCTCCGATTCTCCGATGATCTGTGTTTCTCTATGCTGTATGTATGTCCCTTACATACACACTAGTAGCGAAATCTCTATAGAAGGTGAGAAGCCGGGCTTGCCCTATCAAACTGTTCCATCAACAATATCAACTAATAAAATAACTCTTAAACTGTTTCAAACTATTTCAAATTTCCCGCGCGCTCCTCTGTTCTACACAGGTCATACCTCGTAGCCTTATTATGTAACGTCAACACTTGGCAGATTGCTTTCAATTCGAAATACACTGATTCGTGTTTTCTTTGTCTGAGAGTTTGAGCGATTAGTTGTCTCTCTCACACGCGTGGGATTTTTACCGGGCTTTCGAGAAGACGATCGCTTCCTTTCTTACCTGTGGCAAAATGTTCCGTAATTCCTGGAAAATTCCTGAACCTTAACGACACTCATGAATACGATAACGATATCTATATGTGTATATTTACCATCACTGCTGTTATTGCTCGGAACATGCGCGTCTCTTAGTCGAGGTCGTCGTCGCCAATACCGGAACTCCCTAGGCAGAGTGTAGGACCTAGGGAGTGATATCTGTACACGAAACAATGCTAATGAAAGTCTGAATAAAAATAAAATTTTTAGAACCATCGATATATATGCACTACGCACTAGATATGACATTCCGAACACTCACTATGTTCAACTGAACTGTACTGCAATCCGTACGTACACCTGTTATTGTGGCTTCGATATTCATGCAGCGCGGAGCGGCGCTAATAATAATTTTATATTAAATTAGCACAGATGAAAAATAACCGAAAATTAAAAAAAATGTACTCGATTAACAATAAAATCTAAATAAACAATTATTTATAATGACAATTATTGCGCGTTTATATCAAATGCGCATGCGCGATTCTACTGTTTCCCGCGCATGTGCGGATACAGAGTAGGGCACATTTTTTGTTTGGAGTAGCTTCTTTAGTACGAAGTACATATAACTCAATGTATAGAACCAACATTTTATTGAAAGAAACTGTACAAATAATATCATTATATATATGAATATCACAGCGCTGGACCTAGGAATTTCTTGTTGGAAAGAGAGGGTATTTGCCTTCACTGCTACACCTGTCAGGCAATATGATGAATACCCAGGTCTTCTCGTACTTTTATCGCTGCTCTCTGTCACTGTCCTAGATATTTTGCATCTGGCAAATGAAAAATGTTGCATTTATTTGCCATTTTTCGGAAGCAATGATATCTATCTAGAATTTTCCCCTAGTCGCGTAGACTGGAAAGGATACGATATTAACATCACAGGCTAGTACATCACTCACCTTCGATTTTCCGACAGTATAGTCCTTATTGCAGAATCGCTGGAGGACCTTAGCACTATGCTCAATGACCTCCAAAGTGCCTCCTAACGAATAGATATCATGCACAAAACAAATATCATGTGTAACGTCCATGTCACAAACATACCGGTGGTTGTTGAAAGCACTAAGCTTGAACTTGTTGACGAATATGTTCACCTGGGACAAATAGTTCGACTGGGTAAGTCCAACTTCGACCGAGAGGACTGTATGTTATTCTTAGGCTGTGACGATGGCCTCCAATGAAATGTTGAAAGCTGATAACTGAAAATAATCGGATACCTGGCTATCGATGTCGCTGGGCGGGCGCGGGGTCTCCCGGGCGGGGCCGTCGGGGCTGGACTCCTCGCCGCTGCTGCCCGCGACACCCACAGTCATTCCATCTTCTTTTTTCCTGTTGCTATAAGTTATTTTATCCCTTATATCATGTATTGATGCCAATATAATGAAGTACATTATAATTTAGTAGTTAATATGACTCCTTTTTATAGAATAAGGGTGACAAGCGAGCACACAGTTCACCAGATGGTAAGTGGATGCTGTGCGCCATAGACATCTACATTTATCCTCGATTAAAAATCAAAACGCAGATGCGTTGTCACCCCTGAGGACTAAGATGGAATGCCTCGTTTCCAGTAAAAAAGGGTCTCCGGATCTCTACACTCACCATATGAAACACAGCAGTATTAAGCTTCTATTTTACGCTGGTATTCTGTGAGACCGTGGTCCTTCCCCGGCCGAGCCGACCCATTCGTGATATGACCATAATATAGCTGCAGCATGGCCCTACCACGTGTGAAAACTTTTTTCTTCTTAGAAGTCCAACTGAGGCCTATTACCTATTTCTACAGTTAAGTAGCAGAGTGCGCTGCTGTGTTCTGGTCTGAGAGTATAGAGTCAGTATAGTTACAGGTTGTGAGGCATCCCATCTTTTCTCAGACGTGACAAAACCTTTGTAGCCTTCTCTGTAAAGTTGGCTGCAGGTATCCGTGGACGGCAGTAGACACTTACTAGCAGGTTGACCGTTAATCCACTGGTCACTTTGTTTTATAAAAAAAAATCTTTTATACAATAAGGGTGACAAACGCGCACACAGTCCATCTGATGGTAAGTGGATGCTGTGGCCCATAGACATCTTAAAACACATTCATCCTCCATTAAGAATCAAAACGCAGATGCGTTGTCACTCCTCACGAGTCACGACTAAGATTGTTTCCAGTAAAAAAGGGTCTCCGGTTCTCTACACTCACCATACGACACACAGCAGCATTGAGCTGCTATTTTATGCTGGTATTCTGTGGGGGCGTGGTCTTTTTCCGGTCGAGCCGACCCGTGTTTTTGAGTTTCAGCTACATCGACGGAGAGCAACTGATTTTTATGTACAGAGATAAAAAAAAACATTACTATGCTTTGGTCAAAGAAGACAGTAACTATTTGTGATTTTACAGTGCTCTCTCAAAACTGCTACTAAAATTAATTTAAAATTAAATGTGATAAAAGCCACATTTTTTTTTAAATTTGCGTAAGATATAACATAACATTATATATTTCACTCTCTGGCCCAAGAAGCAGTATACAACCAAATGGTTAAAACTTTATGGAATATTCATAAATTAAAATAGTAAATAATTATAACTGGTAACTTACGTGTACGAGCCGCTCCAATGGCAGCACACCTGCCTGCTGCAGCCTTCTAGGTAATGCGGCGCCAAAAGAATCTCGGGAGTCCGACACCTCTGCATCTTCCGCATCTGCTCCATCTTTTTCCCCGCTATCGCTGGATAAGGGAGCATCCTGTCGCAGTTCTGTCCGTACTGGTTACACGAACCAACTTCATTATAAATACTCCTAATATTGTCTATACTTTGAACATTCGAGAGAGCAGTGTGTATAGCCGAAATGTACCCGTCTTTGGTTTCGCCATATTTATTGTACACGTTTTGACCCCCACCCTCACAATAACCTGAAAATTCGCCGAGATTCGGTCTGTGATCCTCCGAGTATATACTTGTCGCGTTCGGATTTGGTATCCTTGGTTTTTCTAAGGCGCTTGTTTCGTAATTGCTGGTATTTACGTCGGGTATATAATTATTTCTTGGGCTACCGTTGATTACATTTCTTGGACTGCGGCACGCGTTGGATTCGTAGTTTCTGGTTTCGCTCAGTGCGAGGTAGTTGGGGGAACGTATTGGGACCCTGTTCTCTCCCCTTATATTCGCTGGATTTTCGTAAAAACCTCTCGATTCCTGGTTATATATATTCGGTATTCGCACTTTGATATCGTTTTGGGCTGCCGTGTCATTGTTTTGGAACTTCTGGGAGTTGTATTCGGGTTTTATTTCCGTGTACGTCGGGTACAAGTTGCAAGCGTGTGGTAGAACTGGGTAATTTTGATAGGAATGGGTCATTTCTATGCTAGGCCACGCTGGCGGTTCAGCGTGGGTCTTTGCTCTAGGAATGGGTTGTCTTTGTAGACTGCTGTATATTTCTTCCGCGGCGACCGGAGTGGTTTTGGCAAGTTTGCCTTGTTTAATTTCTTCCTCTATAACACGTAACTCTGCGAGCTGTTTCTGTTTCTTCTCCTGTAGTTTTTGTTGGATGTTGACACGAGAGCCGACGCTTGAGCCTTCATTTTCTGATGAACCTCCCTAATTATAAATAATACATAAATTATTAACTAGTTTTAGTAATGAGTATTTTCAATAAATTTATTACCTGTTTGAACTATTATGTTTAATTTTTTTTTAATTTAGGCTCATATTTTTATGTAGTCTTATGATAAACATTATTTGTACGGTTTTTATTACACACTATCGTATTCAACAAAATGTTTTGAAGTAAAAACTTCTTTAGCGGCGTTGTACACTTTTTTGTAATGGGTAAAAAATGTTAAACTCGCGTCAGGACACGTGACCTTATCGAAAATTCATAAGACGGATGGAGAGAGAGAGAGACAGCCGGCGCGGCGTAGAAAAAGAAGTATCCCCCTCTCTTTCTACGGCGCGGCGTAAATGTATGCTTGCGCCTGCTATTTCGTTTAGGCGGCGCAGGGCGCTTGCGCGAATGTTCTTGTGTGATAATTAAAGCAATTCGTGCAAAATTATTCTCTATATAATTTCCAAAATATCAAAAATGCACAACGTTAATATTTAAGTTTTCACTTCGGCCGGCACTCTCGGAGTGCAACCCGTCGTTTTTTTTTAGTAATGTAACGTTACGGCTGTGGACTATATAATGGACGACAATTCTTTATCTTGTACGCTGGCACAGACTGCCTAAAGAAAAGTTCATGTTACTTAAAAAACAAATATTTTTCGCTCAATCAGAAGTATATATATTCCCACAATAATAAATTATGTTCCTTCTATGAGCTCCATACCGTCTCCATATTATCCCGTAGATGTTATAAGAGGCGACCGACGGAAATGAAACAGGAGATGGTCTACATCTTCCTGATAAAAATTTAAAAAGATATGACCAACCCGCTGAAGCACCCAAGCGTGGTTACAATGACCCATATTCTCCCTATGAGGCAAAGTATGGACTAGGCCCATGTTTAGCATTGGCTTTAAATTAGCTGATAAATAGAATGAAAAATTATAACATAGGTAAATATAAATGAGCACATACATGATGATTGTGTGCGGCGGGAAGTGGCCGCCTCCAGAAGGCGGCGGGCGGCGCGGCCGGCGGGGGCACGAATGACGTCGGCTTCTTCTTTTTGCGCCCGTTCGCCGCACTAATATTATTAAGAAACAAAACGTGTGAATTAAATTCCATAAAATTTAAAATTAAACACGATAAAATCCGTAAAATTAGTTTTATTCCATGTAGTATTCACGTAACTATAAGATTTTTTTAATTTAAAATAATTGAATGATAATTCTTTTAATCTAATGAAATTAATTATAAAGGATATATTAGAATGGTTTTATGGAATGAGGTGGCCCCGAGATATTTAAACTTGATTAAGAATAAAAATAATTATGATAATGACTAAGATATAAAGCCTCGTTTGGGGCCATTCATTAATTACGTAAGGATAACCTTCGCAATTTTGACCCCATTTCATGTGTAAGGGTACACAAAATTTCTCGACCCATCTTCTTACGTAAGATTCTATCTCGTTTTTGTGTACATTAAAGAGTGTAGAAAACTATTCCGCATCCGAAATGGAACTAGATTTCTAGTAAGTGTATTATTTTATATTAATTAAGATTAAATATAAATTAATTTCCGACTTACAAAATATTACGCAAGATGGTATTTTAACGAGATAAAGACAAATATTCTCCTCCCCAAGTTAAGACACGTAGAGAATTTTTTAAACACTCTCTCCTAAATAACGTAATTAATGAATGGCCCCTTTCCAATAAACAGGGTCTCTGGTTCTTTTAAAATTTATACATATGGTACTTATATGGCAGCACTGTGAAAAATGTTTAAATGTGAAAACTGTCGAAAGGAAAAATATCAAAGTAAAATACTAGGTAAACTAAACTCGAAGATGTAAGATGTAAGAGTGTTTACATAATAATATACATTCAATCAAAATGTTACATAATTTATTCCTATTTTGATATAATTTAAAAGTACAGGCAAAAAATAAAATAAGTATCGTAAAATTTCTCTCAAAACTTTTATTTTCTTTACCTGTTGTTGACCGGGTTCGAAAAGCGGCAGTTGAACACTCCTGGTATGGCCACGTTGTCTGTTGGAGCAGAGTTTTTACCTGATAAAGTCAATTTGTAGTTTATAACCTAACTTTCCCTCTCTCTCACACACTTGTAACGATCGTATGTTATCATTTTCCGTGCGTTTCCTAAGAGACGACTATGCGAAATGTCCGAAAAATCTCACGGCGTCCGACAAATAGCGGTATAGCAAGGTTTAGACGAAGCCAATGGCTTGCTTGTTATTGGCCTCGTATAAACAGTTTTTCAATACAAGCCAGCGCTGGCTGCCAGCACTGGCTGGAATAGAACGCCTGCCTATTTTTCAACCCAGTGACCTCCGCGCGTGTGCCCCCCCCCCGCAACCCTCGCGCCAAAATAAATAATTTTTAATACAAAAATTTAAGTATTGATATTGTACACATTATTTTTCAGTTAATTTAAAAAATCATTAATTTAATACAACGATTTACAAGAATAATCTGGGAATGAAATGAATCCATTTGGCCTCATCTAAACAACACGGGCCAGGCCAGTGCTGGCTTGTTTGAGGACTAGTGCCAGCGTTTCTGGCTTCATCTAAACCTTGCTTATCACCATCTAGTATGTAGTCATAACGTAAAATATCCGGACCAGCGACAGAGTATCAAATGTGCGTTATATCTAGCATCTGCTACAATCAACAATACGCTTACGAAGAGCAACAATTATTTGCCATAATTGATAAGCTTATTTTCTACAATGGGAGAAGGCATGTCTGGTATACTGTTGCTCGAAGGACCAAAAATTTATTATTGGTATAAATTCAAAAATACACTGAAAATTAAAGCGAATTGCGGTTTTTAAACACAAAATATTACATATTAAGATTGAAAAGTTTTGTGAGAAAAAATACTTACCGTTCTTGTTTTGTGAAGACGCGTTCGTACTGTTCGTACCTTGTTGGTGTTCCCCTAACATGTAGCCCAATCTTCTTACGTGAAAGTACCTGATAGAAAAGCAATAAGGTGAAATATATTTCTTTGTAATCTATTGAATAAACATTATTTTACCTTATTCTATTCTTTTAAGTAGTAAATATCAATATAGTGGATTATTTAGTATATTTGTGGTATTTTGTATCGCAAGAAATAAAAAACGTGAAAAACGTTCCAAGAGCAATATTCCAATACATAAGTGATTATGTAAGAATTTAAAAATATAGGGACTAGACGATAAAATAATATAAAGGAAAGAAATGGTTAGAAAAAAAGTAGAGCAGCTGTACACCTGCAGTGCAGCAGCTACGTACCTGTAGTAGAGCAGCATGAAGGCGAGGCCGGCGCAGAAGGCGGCGGCAGCGCCCGCGGCGGTGGCGGCGGGCCGTGCCGCGCGCCCCGACCACCACCACGCGCTCACAAACAGCCAGTTCTCCACGCACATCCCGCAGTAGAGCAGCTGTACACCTGCAGTGCAGCAGCTACGTACCTGTAGTAGAGCAGCATGAAGGCGAGGCCGGCGTAGAAGGCGGCGGCGGCGGCCGCGGCGGGCCACGCCGCGCGGCCCAACCACCATCACGCGCTCACCAGCAGCCAGTTCTCCACGCACATCCCGCAATACAGCAGATGTACACCTGCAGTGCAGCAGCTACGTACCTGTAGTAGAGCAGTTTGAAGGCGAGGCCATCGCAGAAGGCGGCGGCCGCAGCGGTGGCGGCCGCAGCGGTGGCGGTGGGCCGTGCCGCGCGCTCCGACCACCACCACGCGCTCACCAGCAGCCAGTTCTCCACGCACATCCCGCAGTAGAGTAGCTGTACACCTGCAGTGAAGCAGCTACGTACCTGTAGTAGAGCAGCTTGAAGGCGAGGCCATCGCAGAAGGCGGCGGCGGCGGCCGCAGCGGTGGCGGCAGCAGCGGGGGCGGCGGGCCGTGCCGCACGCTCCGACCACCACCACGCGCTCACCAGCAGCCAGTTCTCCACGTACATCCCGCAGTAGAGCAGCTGTACACCTGCAGTGCAGCAGCTACGTACCTGTAGTAGAGCAGCATGAAGGCGAGGCCGGCGCAGAAGGCGGCGGCGGCGGCCGCGGCGGTGGCGGCGGGCCGCGCCGAGCGCCCCGACCACCACCACGCGCTCACCAGCAGCCAGTTCTCCACGCACATCACGCAGTAGAAGATTACCTGAGAATTTTATAATAACTCACAAACGAATAACAAATGCCAATAATCTATGTTACATTCATACTGCAGCTATATATATATATTGCAATTGCAATATACAGAATGGGGTCCCACATATATGCAATAAATGAAACCATATACTTGTTATCGCCTTTGCTGACGATATACAAAAAATGAACTTAATCGGTCCAGTAATTAGGTGAAAAAGTAGAGTTTTGATTTTAAGCAAATTTGAACTCTCTATAGAATTGGGTCACTAAGTCAATGATTCAATGAACTTGAATCCTTGAACATTAAAAAGCGACGTTGCCACGCAGTGCAAACTATTGGTATTGCGACATATCGACAGCGGTGTCTTTTGTCGGCGTCCATAAACAAGCGGCAAGAGGCACGCGGCGTACTTCAAAGGCGACAGCGCAAGTGCGCGCGCGCCTTTGTCGTAGAGTAGGACACCAGTTATCGACGATTAGCTTCTTTCAAAGGGAGTAATAATCGATAAACAAAAAAAATGTTTAGCTTTAAACACTTAGGGTATGGTTTTTTTAGAATAATCGTGTTGTTACGATAATTCTAAAAACACTACGACCTAAGTATTTAAAGCTAAACTTTAAAGCTTTTTTGTTTAAGTGTGTTCTTGTAGATTTAGAGATAATAAATTATTTCACCATGCTAAAAAACCCAAAAAAACAACCAATTAAAAAGTCATACATACTTACCTGTTTCCCAGGAAGTTACAAATCGGTAATTTTGTAAGTTCAATTGTATAAAAATAAACTTTTTTTAACAATCAATAACTTGTCGATTGTTATCAAATCAAAAATCAAAATTACTTGTATTCAAATGTAGTAGGTAAGTAAGTGTAAAAAGAAAAGTATCGATAAACGATAATTGCACCTTGTGGCCGCCCTATTTATTACTTTTATTATTTTCGCCATTTTGAATTTGGTAATTCGGCTTCCAGTTCACGCGCAATTCTCCCAGAATACAGGTGTGTTTCGCTGCCTACACGCATCGCAATTATTTATCGTAAGATAATTATCGTATTATCGTAAGATAAATACAATTAGTCGAACAATTATTTTACGGTGAAATAGACACTTATTAGTTAATTGACTTTGTGTGTGTAAATAGTGTTTTTAAGTACGTTTATTTTTATTATTTTTTCACTGTGATATTGACACTACTTGACTTTTGTGTATACGTTTTGGCGGCGGAAAATGCCAAGACAACAGCATTTTTACAGTGCGGCAGAGTATACAGACATGGTTTTATTGTATGGCGAATGCCACCAAAATTCAGCGTTAACTCTGCGTACTTATAGTGAGAGATACGGCGCAACTCGCGTCTGCCCTACTAGCGTCCGGACAATCCTAGGTGCTGTCCAAAGAATCAGGGAAAATCAGCGCATAGTGCCCAACACTCATGAAGGAGTTGCTCCGCGTCACTTTCCACCCTCGTTCGAACAACGAGTCTTAGACCATTTCGATCGGAATCCAACCTGCAGCCTTAGACAAGCTGGGCGTGTGTTTAGAGTGAGGCATAAAACAATACACCGAGTGCTGAAAAGGAACAAACTACGTCCTTATAAATATGTTATGGTGCAGGCGCTGCTGCCCCGCGATAAGCCGATTAGAGAATCTTACTGCCACTGGGTACTGGAAAAAATGTCTCAAGACCAACGTTTCCTAACAAATGTGTTTTGGACAGATGAAAGCACGTTTACTCGAAACGGCATATGGAACCGACAATCCATGCGTTACTGGAGCCATACGAATCCCCATTTATTTAGGGAATCAGCTCATCAATACCGAATGTTTGGGCAGGCATTTACGGAGATCAAATAATCGGCCCTATTTTTATTGACGGAAACTTGAATGCACAGAAATTTCTCAATATTCTTAACGGCCCAATAACAGAATATTTAGAAGGATTGTCTGTGGCAGCTTACCAAAGGGTATGGTTCCAGTTAGATGGAGCTCCTCCACACTTCGTACTCCTCGCGAGAGAGCGGCTTAACACCATGTTCGGCGAACAATGGATAGGGCGCTATGGCCCTCGCAGGTGGCCAGCTCGATCGCCCGACCTCACTCCTCTAGACTTCTTTTTATGGGGCTTTATTAAAAATGAAGTGTACTCAAAGATCTCCGAAACCGAAGATGAACTGCGCAATCGTATTGTTGCCGCCTTTAACAAATTAAAAGTCCTGGCTCTGGATCCTGAACGAAATTTGTTGAGCAGGCTTCAGTACAACATTATGCGGCGATGTAACTTGTGCATTCAAGAACGTGGCGAACATTTTGAAAATTTTAAAATTTAGGGTTTCATTAAATTTTGCTACTAATATGCAATAATATTTATTTCGTATAGTTCCATTTTCGCGAAATAAAAATGTGGCGGTAAAATATTTAAACAGTTTAGTGAGTAAGTTTTTATTTCGTCGCACATTGTCCAACGAACCATAGGCCGTGCCGACAATCGCCATGCCACCCGCGTGCAACGTTGTCACTCTTCCAAGGGGTCAAGGTACGTTGTCTAAACAGAGTGTTCACTTTAACTGAATTTATTTTAATATTTATTTTGTTTGAAAATTTCACTTTTTTATTTTACGGGTTTTAATTTAATATTTAATTTTTCTACACTTCTACGGACTAGTATTACTTGTGGTTTCATTTATTGCATATATGTGGGACCCCATTCTGTATATTGTGTGACTGTGTTGGTAGTGGTGTAGTATGTTGATGAGGTCTGGGATGAGGGTGGGTATATATTGAGTTTTTCCGTCAAGAAATTCTCCGTAGCTGCCCGGAGTCAGGAAGTTGGCGGTGTCTGACCCCCGTGCCTCGGAAAGCACGTAAAGCCGTTGGTCCTGCGCCTGATCTCTCTCCAGTCGTGTCGGTTTACCGTCTCATCGGATTATGAGAGTGAGGGAATAGAGAGTGCACCTGTGCTTGCGCATACACTTGGGCACTATAATCCTGTCCTGCGCCGATTACTAGTCTCCGTTGAGGCTTTCCGCCGTGACAGAAATTTGGTCTGGAGGACATTATTATTATTATGTATATTGTAGTTGCAGGTTGCAACACGAATGGGAGAGCTCGACTGGGGAAGCACCGCGCTTTATACCTATTAAAATTATTGTTCTAATAATTTAATCGTAAAAAAAAATTACTCTTGCAAAAAAAGAATCAAAAGAAATCTTCTAATTTTCATTAACCATTAACATTACCTACGAAGTAACAGTGCTACGAACCTACGAGGTAATAATAAATAAGCGTGTTAACTTCACAGAATATTTATGGTATTTTAATTTGTAATAGTAATCTTAAATAAACAAGAAAGATCTTATGATTATAGAAAACTGAAAAGAGAACGAGAAAATTAAATGCCAATTCAATCAAGAAAAGTCGAGTATTGTCGTTTAGGTCAACCACAGGAAGACGAGGGTCAAGCAATTTTATATCTTCTAAACGTACCTACTGACGCTCTGTCTGGAACATCTCCTAATTCCAAAAGAAAGAAATTTGTATCTTCACTTGTCTCACACTCTGAAATTTTCTTTGTTTTTTTACTTTCAGTCGCTGTCTGGGCTTTTTCCCAGATTTTCTTATTACTTTTTTTATTCAATTCGACTCAGACTATAAAACTATTCTTTTAGTTCTCTTGATCCCTTCAGGTATTCGGAGTCTCAAATCTGAATATAATTTTGTAAAGCCATAATACAATTTTATTCCAGCTGGCTGTGAACACATACCATTTTCTGGTATTTTAATTTTATTTTATTTTATTTTATTTCAAACAAAATCCACAGCTCTTTGTTACATCGTACGTACATCTTATGATCTTAAATTATAGCCAAAAACGGATTTACATTATTTAAATAGTATTTTCAATTTATAGCGGACACGTTGAAGACAAAGTAGTTGGGACTAAAAATACATATTTTTAAACATCTAGAATGCAATCATACATAATGCTCTTATGCGCTTCCCTCGCACGCGTGCATTTTTTTGTGTGTGTGTGTGTGTGTGTGTGTGTGTGTGTGTGTGTGTGCGTGTGTGCGTGTATGTGTGTGTGTGTGTGTGTGCGTGCGTGCGTGCCTAAATAATAATAAAAAAAATAATATTGCCTTAATATTGCCTCGTTAGTCCAGTGGCTGCAAACGCCACTGTTGATCGTGAGATCCCTGGTTCGATTCTCGGACCAGGCCAATAAAAACAGTTATTGAGTTTTTCCGTCCGTTTTATCACGTAGTACAACCATGCTGCAGATATACTAGTAGTATAGTTGTAGCACGAATGGGTCGGCTCGACTGGAGAAGGACCACGCTCTTACAGAATACCAGCGTCAAATAGTAGCTTAACGCTGCTGTGTTTCGTATGGTGAGTGTTGAGAACCGGAGACCCTTTTATCTGGAAATGAGGCATTCCATCTTAGTCCTCACGGGTGACAACGCTTCTGTATTTTGATACGTAATTGAGGATAGATGTTGATGTCTGTAGGCCACAGCAACCACTTACCATCAGGTGGACTGTGTACTCGTTTGTTACCCTCTCCTATAATTTTTTTTTTCAGTAGCTGCCCGTGGTCAGCAAGTTATTGGTGTCTCATCCCTCCCCCCCCCCCCGTGCCACGGAAAGCACGTAAAGCCGTTGGTCCTGCGCTTGATCTCTCTCCGGTCGTGTCGGTTTACCGTCCCATCGGACTATAAAAGTACCAAAATTCTGTCCTGCGCCGATGGCTGGCCTCCGTTAAAGCTAGTCACCGTCACCAAAATTTCGTGACGTCATTTTAATGCGACGATCATTTTAATATTATTAGTGACAGCCATGACATGTGAAATTGCCTAACCACTGTTACGGTACGTGTACACCAAATCCGATTTTGTCGGTCGATGGCGGACAGAACTACCCGGGCGAGTAACTCGAACGTGTATGTGCTTGCTTACACTGCAACACTGTACCACTTGTGCCGACATTGGACGTTGCCGGTATTCTTTTCTATTTTTTAATATCCATAGTCGTTTAGGTAGGTAACAACATTGACAGAAACAACAGAATAAAGACAAAATGATTAAATTAAACTATAAATACACTCAATTTGCACTGAATCTGATCTGCCGTTTTCGTGCGTTATCGGACGATGACGGTCGTGCTGGTGTACGCGCTCTCTTTGTTTTACAGGTGTTTGATTCGATCGTCCGAGTTCGGTCGCCCGAACAAACTTCGGCCGATGACGGATTAGGTGTATGCGAAGCGTTAGAGTTTGCATGAAAAATATTTCTATTTCTGCGCGGGGACTTTAATTCGCGTTAGGAGTACATTTTCCTTTATAAAAAACACAAACTACATTAATTTATTACACTTACCATCTTCTGTCTGTGATTAAGCTCCTGCAGGTTGACGTAGGCAAAGACGTACACGAAAGCGATGAGCGCGGAGAGGTACGCTTTACGTGGACGGCTGATGCGCTCGCCGTGGAACACGTTCTTCGGGGAGATTAACCATAAAAACATCGACACCCAATGAAGACCTACATACAAATTATACATACATTTGGCACGATCATGACACATTTCCACCATACGAAAGTAACTACATATTCATTACAATACTAACGATGTTTACGTTAAGATTTAATGTAAAAAATCAAAAGATATATATTTATGATAGGTTTGTAAAAAGTTAACGAGAAATATTGATTTCTGTTCATAAAAATTCAAAATAAATTTTATAATCCAATTTTAAGAATTTTTTTATCCGTACCTCAAATCTCCAAAACGCTATGTGCCATATTAGAATCCGTCGTGACGTCACTGGTTAAGTGAACCAGTTAATGTGCTGTGTGTTATTTCGAATTTTTAAAGTTTTCATTACGATTGGTGAGTTTAATTCAAAATTTGATGGAAAAGGCATCATGGAAGACGGATTCGTAAAAGCAGAAAGTACTAATCTTACCAAGGATAAATACATTTATGGTGGCAAAAATTTTTGCATGCAATCCTGATTTTTGTTCTGCCTAGTTGAAGAATGTTAAAACATCAATGTAAGTACCTGTTACCAACTTTTGTTTATACAATAAAACAATACCAGGTAAATAAAATAAAATAATGATGTTTTGTTTTGTTTAAAAATTAGTTAATGTATACGTACATTGATTTAGAGTATAGTTTAGTTTTTGTACCGTGACAATGTCTTCAGGTATCTTCCTGCAAGTTTTAACCAAGTATTTCTCATATATAAATTGGTTGGCACTTGAACCCATAACTTGCTCTGCTTTCTTATCACACAACCCACCAGTAATAAAGATGATAACTCATTATTAAACGTCCAAAAATATCTAATTCTTTTGCAAAATCGGCGAGATCGTAGGACAGTGACGTCACGAGCTTAACAGCACGGCGGCTAGCGTTTTCATGCGAAAATTCATAACGACAAATTAAAAATAATTTTTATGGCACTATGCGGTTGTAAAAAATATACATATATAAAAATTATAGTGATTTATTATCACTCTAGGATTCATTTAAAACACTATTTGAAAATGGGTGTAATACCCTCTTGTGTTTCTCGTGGTTCCTCAAAGCAATATCCTAAGCCGGCTTGTGTTTCTTATTTATAGTTACTTTTGTGTTGTTTTCAGCTTAATACTGTAGTAATTGTTTTATCACATATCGCGGTGAAGGAGTCCTTTAAAAAATTTGTTTATTTGGGGGGGGGGGGGGGGGGTATAATAGGAAGTATCCTTCTTTGTGGCTAAAGGCTACAGTAGCACTTACCATCACATGGACAGTAAGTCCTCTTGTCACTAAAATTTTACAAAATTTATTTTTTCTGCGGTTTTCTTTATTTTTCTTTTTTTTTTTTTTTTGTGAAAGAAATTAATTTATGAACCGGCAATTGTTTAAGACACTTCATGCACTTTTTGTTATAGGATAAGAGTGACTAGCGAGCACACAGTCCACCTGATGGTTAGTGGTTGCTGTGGCCCATAGACATCTACATCTATCCTTGTTTGCGAATCAAAATGCAGATGCCTTGTCACCCGTGAGGACTAAGATGTAATGCCTTTTTTCCAGTAAAAAGTGACTCCGGTTCCCTTTCTTTACATTCACATACGAAACACAGCAGCATTAAGGTGCTATTTTACGCTGGTATTCTGTGAGAGCGTGGTCCTTCCCCGGTCGAGCCGACCCATATATAATTAATAATAAACTATAATATTAATATAGCTGGAGCATGGCTCTACCACGTCAGATTCAGAGATTGATCAACAATGATGGATAATTAATGAATATTTGATTGACGTTTAGCTAATAAAAGAAAACATACAGGCACTAGTATAAGTAATAAATAATAATAGTTTTACAATCATTACTAAGTTTTCTACTCACCTATAACTAAAAAGACCCAATATTCATAGACTAGAGCATACACGGTGAGGGCACAAATTCTTGCCGAGATAGTTCCTAGCCTCCATAGGAACTGCAAATAATATTATAAATACATAATTTTTTATAACTAATACAAAACTAAAAATTATTTGAATTTAATGTTCTCCAAACTGAATTTCGATCACTACGGGAAATCTCAACGGAGACTAAATCATGTGCGCAGGATTGTAGTACACGAATGTATCCGGACCCCAGGCATTTTATATTTCCTTGTTCTCATAATCTAATGGGCCGGTAATCCTACACGATCGGAGAGAGATCGGGCGCCTGATTAATTCAATTAACATTGTAATTTAATGCAATATTAGTTACACAATTTTAACAAAATTTCCTGCAAAATTTATATTTTTTCCTTTTTTTTTCAGCGCATACACAGTCCAAGGGACATGGGCTACAACATAGTGGGCGGTTTAGTGATGGCAGTAACATATGTCACTGCCCGTCGCTTGTCTGAGTATTTTACATCTTGTATATCATCATCATCATTACAGCTCTTCATAAGTCCACTGCGGAACATAGGCCTCCCCCAAATAATACCACAAAGCACGGTCCTGAGCTTGTATCCATTGACTTCCTGCGTGTCGTGTATAACACGAGATGATAATATTAGCGGTTCGCGTTTAGCAGGTGACTTATTTTGTATTTACGCAAATACTACACATTTAAATAAAACAAATTTGACGGCATGTATCGCCGTTAAATTTATTTATTTTTTAACTCTCTCGACGTTTGGGAAACTTTGCAGCACCCATGGTCACGAGACACAAGGGGCTGAGGTGTTTGACGTCCTGATATCAGTTATATACTATGTATATAATAATTATAATTAAGTTGCACGCCTCAAGGATCAAGGTGGCTAAGTTACCAATTAAATCTTGTATCCAGTTCTCGTCATTTACCATATGAAACGCATTATGAGGCTATTTAATGCTGGTATTCTAAGAGAGCGTGGTCTTTTGTCGGTCTAGCCAACCCATTCGTACTGTAAATACATCTGCAGAATATCCACGCTAAAATGTATACATGAGTATACGTAGAAGATCCCTACTGAGCACATAGCACATACATCTTTAAGTGTTTTTAATTATTTAAATATTTTAAAAACAACTAATAGTATAGAATATCTGTTGGACATACCTGGAAGATGACGCCGAGCCAAGTGAGAACTAGCCTATGCACGTTCTGGAGCCGCACGTTCTTGCTGAAGCTGGCCAGCGCCCAGCAGACAGAGAACAGTGAAAGTGACGCTGATATCACGTTCAGCTCAGCAAACGCTTTGTTCGCTGTAAAAGACCTCCCTCTTCATTATCCCCTAAAAGTCTACTGCTAGATATGGATATTCTGCCAAACGCCCGGAGTATGCATTTTGAGAAGTGACAAATGCGAGTGGCAAGTGCAATTGACAAATGACAAGTGCTTAGTGCGTGTGAACAGGCAGTAAAAAGTGCGAGTGATAAGCACTAAGTGTAAAATAAATAGTAACAAGTGAATAGAAGCCATTTCCTTTATATAGGCTTGCGTTATATTAGTTAATTTTGTGCTATTGTTTTAGCAATGACGAAGTGGTCAGAGAACTATAACATTAAATTTGTCCAGGAATTACTGCTTACTACTCGATTGTTTATTTACTTAAAATATTATATAAAAAAAATTCGGCAAATTTATTTTTAAAGTCGCCGAATTTTAAAAATAAAATGATGCGAGACGCCACTACGCTATAATACATAACAATGTTTGATTTCTCCGATTACTTCATGAACTTGTAGGCGCAGTTTCTCATCCATTTTAAGCATGACCATGTGATTCGAAATTCCACATAATAGTGATCGTACTGCATATTATCCGCTTGCCGCATGTGTGAACAACCACCTGCTAGTTGTCACTTGACAGTGTTTACTTGTCAACCTTACTCGCACTTGTTACTTTTCAAAATGTAAACCGGGCCTTAATCGTTACACAAGCTGAAGTGCACAGTGCCATACGTCTGTTACCCGGGACGCTGCCTGGTATTTTACACCTAGCGATAAGTGATCGCTATACCGTCATCTATCGGAAGCCATGAGATCGTACTAGCGATTTCTATAGTATCAACAATTATTTTTTTGCTTTTTGAGAGGAGTTAGGAATACTACGAGGTCTACGTAACAACTTAAAAGTTGTCTAAAAATTTACTTTGAAAATTTCAGTTTTTCAACAATAATTGATTGTTTCTTTGAATGTATCATGTATTTATTAATAATTCAAATTAAAAATATACAGATTGCTATTTATGCTACAAGAAATATACAGTATGTCCCAGAAATAGACGTCAAGCCGGAAACGGGTGATATGCCATGTCAAATAGAATTTCTGTCTCGCTCACACTTCTCCATCGCACTTCCACTCTTAAATTTACGGCCTTGAGGAAAGCCTTGGTCACACTAGAATTATTTTAAGCAATAAGCAAAAAGTTTTCAAAACTAGGTTTTCTCTACAAATAAAAATTGTCCAAAAATAATCTTGAAGTGTCATACCATTTTGGAATCCTTATCAAATGCGCCAACTTTTAAAGTTACTTGCCAAACTAGCGTAGTACAATTTTTTTGCAGTACAGTCACTTGAATTTAGACAAAGTATTTACTTTGAGTACTTAGTTGGGCTAAAAGTCACATTCTTTTCCGAGCTGGAGCAGTTGACTTTAAATTTTAGGCAATAAATTCAGAAGCATTATTCAGGAATACATAATAAAAACAAGATTTTTAGTAACATGAGTTAGTGTGTAGTGTAGTGTGACTTTCACAGTGTGTAGATTTTCTCGATTTTTTTAATGTCTATTATTTCAAAAAACTTAACTTACATTTTTTATTTTATTTTTCTGATAACTATCATAACTTGGCCTGTCACCCGTTTCTAGCTTGACATCGATTTTTGGGACATTCTGTATTTCATATATGTGATAATATTATATTAAGTAAGGCAACACAAACGAAAACGTTATATACGAATTGTATAGATTGATTTACACATTTTTTATGGTTTCCCTTAGGAAAAAACTATATTTTGTCCCTGAATCTTATGTTTCTTTTTTTTGATACTTCAACTTCCATATACTTCGGAGTTATTATTGTATTTGGTATACAGGAAGTTCTACGCCTGGTTATTCTTTATTTAAAATATATTTAGTTTTCTATTACGATCTTTTCGTTTTCGTTAGCAGTTAAAGGGATCTCCGGTGATCGTCACTCACCATAAGAAATGCAGCAAAATTATGCTGCTTCATTTATTTCATGTAAATTACAAATTCCGTTTGTTACGCTGCTTCGTTTATTTCTTGTAATTTAAATAAGCATAACAAACGGATCGTAACGAAGAACGATCAATCATAAAGCCGTTTTATGATATTTATTGAACGAAGTACGAGACGTTTCTTAGATATTTATTGAGCATAATAAGACAAGAGCATGTCTCTAGGTTTGTGCAAACGTGAAGAAGGCTTTAAATTGTTGCAAAAAAAATGTCACCAATTATTTCTCTTACCCGATGGCTCATCAATACTTGGTTCGGGCGTAACACCAAGTTCGTTGATGGGTTCGATGGTCGTATCCTTAAGCAGTATGTGCAGTTGTAACAGCAACATGGGCGCCGCCTCACAGAATGCATGCACCAAGCGCAGCATGCCTGAGGGAGGATTACAAAATTTACTATCACATCACGTCGATTTAAAAAAAATTCCTCATAAGTATTACAAAGGAATAGGATAAGAGAGAGAGGTAATAAAGCACTAGTATGACCTACAACAGATGTCACTACTGATCTGAAATTATTTTGTTAACTATAGTGATTTGTAATTTCAATGCAATTAAAAAGACAATAATAATGGAAAAAACAAACATCACTTTACGAAAACACAAATCTAAATCAGTTACAGATCTTTCAATAATTATCGATGAATGCAATGTAAATTATTCGAATCCTTTCGACACATCTACGCTAAGTTTACCAAACACTTCCATCACGGAAAATGACTACACAAAAAACTTACAACGTCAAATTAATGAACAGAAATTATTACTGGAATCTGCTAACGAAGAAGTGGAGCGATTATCTCTAGAAAATATAGACCTAAAAAAAGACTCTAGCCCAAAGAGAAAATACTCTAAGTTTAATGAAAAAAATTGGTATTTCTGAAAATTCAGTAATGTCTTCTCCGGTCATAAAAAGAATTAAAAACTTTATATCAGTGGGTAAAACTCCTACAAAAACAAATTCCATATCCCCTAAGACAAGTATTACACAAGTAATTAATCTTGAAAACAAAATTAAGAAACTTGAACAAGAATTGGAAGAAGCTAACAGACAAATAGAAAAATTAAACCAAAATATAAAAAAATTACAGGGTAATGTAATATGCTCCACAACAAAAAAAGAAGCCAAAGAGTACACCGAAAATCATTCCACGTGCACCACAGACCTGACACCTTCGCAATTTCAAACAAAAATAATAGTAAAGAATGGAATAAGCTCCATGATTCCAACATACAGCACTAAGAAAAAAATATTTATCATCGCAGATCAACAGGGTCGAGGAGTTCGTCACTGCCTTCAAAACCTTATCGGAGATGAATTTTTAGTCACTTGTCTATGGAAACCGGGTGCGAAAATGTATGATCTATTATCCTCATTTAAACAGGAATTGTTGTCACTCACAAGTAAAGATTACGTCATAATTATGGGGGGAATTAATGACAAAAATCCATTTGAATTTAAGTGTAATATAGAAGTTTATTTGAATTGTTTATCAAATACAAATGTAATTATATCCGAAATTCCATATAACAAACTTTTTAAATGAAAAAAAAATTAAATTATGAACTGAGATATATTTGTAATCGTCATAAAAATTGTATATTTATAGAGATCATTTTATACCATTTAAGCCATTTTTTTTCCACTTTTGTTTGCCGCTCGTTGCTAAAAGAGATATTACGCAATGAATATCAAATAAAAATTAACGCATACAAAATAACAAACAATCATGTAATTTCATATAATTGTATTGATTCTGACAAATTATTCGATAAATCTACGCAAACCGAAGAATGTATGTCAAACTTTACCGTTCCCATCTCTACAAAAAACACAAATCAAGCTATAACCAGCGACGGAGTAGGACCAACAAAAGACAATAATTTAACAAGTAACTCTACTTTTCGGAGTTTATTTTAATATTATGTTTCAAAATATGCAAAGTATTTGTAATAAAACTCACCTACTAGAGGCATTTATAGAGGATAGATGTAATTTTCATGTCATATGTATATCAGAGTCTTGGTTAAATAAACAAAAGAAAGATTTGTTGAAAATAGAAGGATATTCCGTAAGCTCATCTTTCTGCCGGGAGGAGCATGACGGTGGTGGAGTATGTATACTAATAAAAAACACATTAGAATATTACGAACGAATAGATATATCTTCGTTGTCCACCGAAATGATTTTTGAAATATGTGCTACTGAAATCTCTCAAATAAACTTGTTAATTATTAACCTCTACTGGCCTAATAGCAAAAGGGAAATCGAAGTATTCTATTCACGTCTAGAAAAACTCTTGAGTCTCATCTCAAAAAAGGATTATTCTAAGAATATTATCATAGGTGGCGACTTTAACGTAGACTTCCTAACAAATAATAGCGAAAAAAATAGGCTCTCTAATTTAATGTTATCGTATAACTTCCACCAAAAGATTAAACAACCCACCAGAATTACACCAAACAGCTCCACATGCATTGATCTACTTTTTATTAATTTTAAATTAAAGGATATGAAAATAACTGTTCATGAATTTGGTTTTTCAGATCATTGTAGTTTATTAATTTCTATACCGTCTCCAATACAAAACTTAAAGCAATTTTTATTAAATAAACGAATATACAATAACTTAAATATAACTAAATTCAAAAATGAAATTTCTAATATAAATTGGGATGACATACTTAAACCTAATAAAAATGTAAATGAGAATTATGACATATTTAGTGAAATTTTACAAAGAGCTTTAAATAAATGTATACCAAAAATCCAAATAAAAATAAAAAATTCTCCAAAGAAAAATTATTTAACAGTAGGATTAAAAACATCGTGTCGCTATAAAAGATTTTTAAAGTTATTGGTTTCCAAAACCAAAAATGAAAATTTTAAATATCATTATAAACAGTATTGTAAAATATTAAAAAAAGCCATCAATTTATCCAAAAAATTATGTAACAAATATAAATTTGAAAATTTTCAAAATAAAACTAAAACTATGTGGCAAATCATAAATAACGAGACTAACAAAAATTCACGAAAATATAGAAATGTTCAACTAAAAATAACAGATAAACATATATCATGTGATCCTAAAATAGTAGCGAACTTATTTAATGGCATTGATGAAATGACTCCTATTTTGATTAAAAGTTGTGCTGATTTGTTAACAATCCCCTATACAATATTGGTAAATCAATCTTTTTCAGAAGGTATCTTCCCAGATGCCCTCAAAATATCTCTAATCAAACCCTTGCATAAAAAGGGCGAAACTACTGACATAAATAATTATCGACCTATAGCTCTGTTACCTACGTCTGCTAAAATATTTGAAGCGGCTATGGCGAAACGTCTTTGTTCATTTTATGAAAAATATAATATTTTGCACGTGAACCAACATGGCTTTAGGAAAAACCACTCTACTACCTTAGCAATTTATAAATATGTAAAAAGCATCCTAGACAAAATCGACGGTAAAAAAATCGCAGTAGGCCTCTTGCTCGATATGAGTAAAGCCTATGACAGAGTCTGTTATAGAACTCTATTGGAAAAACTGTATCAAACAGGAATTAGGGGAATAGCTCATAATTGGTTCAAATCCTATCTTGATAACCGCTTCCAATATGTAGAAATTGAAAATACCAACTTCGAGACAGGCAAAATTACTCATGTCAGATCGGATGCAACTCTCATTTCTGGCTCTATCCCTCAAGGTAGCGTTTTGGGTTGTATTTTGTTTCTTATTTACATAAATGATCTACCAAACATACTGGACGATCTATGCGTGCTCTTTGCAGATGACATCTCCATATTAATCTCTTGCACTAATTCCACAGATTTAACTACAAAATTGAACTATACATTAGATAAAATTACTGGCTGGCTACAATTACATAATTTACAACTTAACCTTAATAAAACTAAAATTATTCAATTTAAACCCTACCAAAAAACTGGTTTACAAATATCGTTTAACTATAAAAATACAAAACTAGAAACTGTTAACTCTGGCACTTTGTTAGGAATAGACCTGGACACACATTTGAGTTGGAAACAGCACGTACAAAAAGTTGCAAAAAAAATATCCTCATTTATTTATGCACTGCAACACCTTAAACGTGTGACAGATTTTAAGACTGCCCTTGCGGCTTACTATGCACATGCTCACTCCGTACTCTCCTATGGCATTATCTTGTGGGGAAACTCTAGTGATATAAACAAATTATTTATATTACAAAAGAAGTGTCTACGAATATTGATAAATTTGGACAAAATGGAGTCATGTAAACCCCACTTCATTAAAAATAAGATTTTGACACTTACATCTATCTACATCCTCGAATCTTGTAAATTTGTTAGGAAGCACCCAAAACTCTACTCACCTATTAAAAAGACTAAAAGAAATAATAGAAATTTATATAAGCTTAAGATACCCTTCTCCAAATTAAAATTAGTTTCAAACAGCACCCACGTTGTCAATAAAGATTTATAACCATTTACCAAATTCCATAAAAATCCTGGAAAATCCTGTGCAATTTAATAAACAATTAAAAATATTTCTTATTAATAAATGTTACTATAATTTAAATGAATTTTTTGACGATAAATAACGATAAAGTAAGAATACTTAGACTATTCATTGTGTTTCAAATTAAATTAATTTATATAAAATAATATTGAATGTTGATGATATGATAATTTGTAATTTATGTTTAAAAATTAGATAATACGAAAATAGTTAGCCCTCTAGTGTTGCTATGCCCTTGCGGGGCGTCACATGTAAACCTATCAAAATTGTACCATCTTAAATTTGTAATGTGACATGCAACAAACAATTTGAATTTGAATTTGAATTTGAAGGATCTGTGAAGTGTACTGCAGTCGTCCAGTCGTGACAGTGACGTCATCACGATGAAGAGTAGTGTTGTGGTTTACTACTATTTTATTGTTATTGTTTGTTTTTTATTTATGTACAAAGTACATATATAAAAAGAGACAGCACAAGATAGCACAAGATTAAATTAAACATACCAGATTATAAAGAGTCATTTATTGCATAAAAAACTAACAAAATCAAGTTATTGTATGATATCGATATATTAACTCTTGGCAACACTATTTTTTCATAGGTATTTTTATTTATTTTTGTTTACTTCTATTAGTATTTTTGTTTTTATTATATTATTAGTATTTTTGATTACTTTCGCTAGGGCGTACAGGACACGGTAATGCGTTTTTGGCGTGGCGCTCAAAAGCTTAAAGTAGGAAAATGAAACTCCAATAAAATATTAAAATGTTATTACAACCCTATAATAATATTTTACAAACTAGCACACAGTCCAACTCGTGATTACTGCGGCCCATAGACATCTACATCTATCCTCGATTACAAATCAAAATGCAGATGCCTTGTCACCCGTGAGGACTAAGATGGAATGCCTCGTTTCCAGTAAAAAGGGTCTCCGGTGCTGCTGTGTTTCGTATGGTGAGTGTAGAGACACTCACCATACGAAACACAGCAGCATTAAGCTACTATTTGACGCTGGTATTCTGTGAGAGCGTGGTCGTTCCCCGGTCGAGCCGACCCATTTGTGCTACAACTATACTACTAATATAAGTGTAAGTAGTATAAAGGAACTTGTCTCTTGGTACTGCAGTGCATGGGGGCAAAAATTAAATGCTAAAATTAATCCAATCCAAAACAGTCTATAAGATTCCATTGCTGAACATAGATCTCCCCCATGAATTGCCTTATATATAGGGAGGGTGATATATAGTTACCACGGTTGGCAACCGTAGTAGCGGTAGGTAGTGCATATTCATACATCGCCACTACACGTTTAACATTAATAATTACGACTAAAATTAATGATCACTAAAAAAAAGATGTCAAAAAATACAAGTGGTAGGGCTAATTTTCCGCCTAAGAATCCTTGAGAACGACAGAATCAGAAGGACCCCTTCTGGTTCAGTAGTTCTTGGTGGGAGTGCATAGAGGCGATATATCTTATGGTCTCTGACAGAACAAAATAAAATATTTTCTTATTAGATATAGATCACATATAATTCTTATTGAAAGTCATTTTTTACTTTACCACTGGTCCAAAAAAAACGTCGGCCCTGGAAAGAACCCAGTGGGATTTTTTTAAAGTAAATTTTACAATACGATTATGAAAGGTTATAAAAAAATGCAAAATTTTGTACAACCTTTCAAACAGCTTGGAAGTGACCACCTCATTCCTAAGGGTTGTTATCAATATATATATGTATTCATTTATATTATAATAATCTTCTTTATACGGTTTTTGCTTAATAAAATATTTAAACTTGGTAACCTTGATATATGGTGGTATAATTTAGTATCATACGTGGCACGCGCCCAGACGTCCTTCAGGCAGGAAAGGGAGCCTTACCATCTACTAACAGGCAATCGTATGTTTATTTAATAAATGATACTATATGTAAAAACACTTCAATTTACACTTACAAAGGTCTCGTACTTGATGCTTAACGCGACGTAGTTCAACTGGCACTAGCAGGCGGGCGTATCTCCACAGTACGCCGACTTGTAAGCAGTGAAGAAGTATGGGCAACCATGGCGGACGACCCTTGCGTCCTTCTCCCGCCCACCATACGTGTAAATACCAACGAAGGGATAGCACCTATAACAAGGACCTTTAGTACTCTTCAGTTTGGTTTCTCTAACACCAGGACTTATAACTATGTAGGGTTATTATAGTACCTTTTTTTTAATAGGAGAGGAGTCACACGAGTATGCGGCTCACCTGATGTTAAGTACATACCGCCGCCCACTGCAGGTGCAGGGATTTTTAAAAAGGAGTAGGCTCTTTACTTGAAAATCCCTAAGTCATATCGATCCGAAATGATCTCTGGTGATAGCCGATTCCATAAGGCCGTGAGAGAAAAGAAATCTGGTACACCTCAGTCGCCTCTTATAACATTCACAGGGTAATATGGGGTGGTGCATATTCTTACAACGAAACTACACGATTATATAAATGTTAATGGTAACAAGAAAAATACTATTAATTTTTTTTGTATAACTACAATACCTGAGATATTAATAACGATGTTACAACTATAGATATCGTGGCTGCAAACGTGCACTTATAGCCCCGCTCCAGCAGAGCATAACCCATGACGACGTCGAACACGACGTCGCAGAAGTAGCCTGCCAGAGAGATGACATTGAAGAGTACGTCGCAAAGAGGCAGGAACTCCGCCATCGTATAACATTTCTCCTATTTAATAGTTTCACCTTCCTTTTCTCGCTATCTGTGGAATAGCATGAAAAACAAAATTAACCATTTCACTATTTCTGGAGTCATATATTAATATTTCAGTTGTTTTACTATTGTGCCCGTTTCGCGGACAGGGAATTGTTAAAGTGTGATAACACTTCTTCTTCCAGTGCGTGTTGCGAGTGATGACTATGATATGATCTGAGACGTGGTCCTTCACTGCTGGTCGTTTGAGGACGCTCAATGTCGTTGAGCGAGCTATAAAGAGGGCTATGATCCGAGTTTCTCCGCATGATAAACTTAGAAATTAGGATATCCGCAATAGAACCAGAGTGACTGACATAGCCCAAAGGATTAGTAAGCTGAAATGGCAATGCCGGCAATATAACTTGAAGAACCGACAACCAATGGTGAAAAGGGTTCTCGAGTGGCAGCCTCGTACCGGTAAGCGAAGTGTAGGGCGAACCCCATTAAATGGAGTGACTACCTGGTAAGACATGCAGGAAGTCGAAGAAGGCAGGTGACAGGTGGCTCAGGACCATGCTTTGTAGCATTGCTTGGGGGAGCCCTATGTTCAGCAGTGGACTTGTGAAGGGCTGTAATGATGATGATGACGATGATAAACACACTATCGCAACATTTCAGTGACAGTATGATACTCTTTAAGTATGACGCATGTGTTTCTCAAATTACGATGCCTCGTTTGCCTGGCTCGACCACCCAGTTATTTGAGGTCTGCACTAATGCAATGTACACCCCTCTAGGAGTATTAGTACAATAGCTTTATTTTTACCCGATTGCCCCCAAAAGGAGGGTAATGTTTTTCGAGAGTATGTTGTATAAACTGCCGGCCAAAAGTTTAAGACCACCTTAATTAAAGTAAGAAAATGAAATAAAACTCCAATAAAATATTATTACGACCCTATAATAATATTTTATTACTTAACTTTTCACTTATTTTTATTTCCTATTTAGGTTGTCTGGAAGAAATTGCTGCATAGCAATAAGACCGCCTTTTGTTTTTCTCTTTGTTTGTTTCTTGTTATGTTGTATTTTTTAGTGTTCAATAAAGGGTATTGTATTGTATATTTTACAAACTAGCACACAGTCCACCTGATGGTAAGTGGTTGCTGCGGCCCATATACATCTACATGTATCCTCGATTACCAATCAAAATGCAGATGCGTTGTCACCCGTGAGTTTCCAGTAAAAAGGGTCTCCAGTTCTCTACACTCACCATATAAAACACAGCAGCATTAAGCTACTATTTTACGCTGGTATTCTACGAGAGCGTGGTCCTTCCCCGGTCGAGCCGACCCATTCGTGCTACAACTATACTACTAATATAAGTGCAGCAAGGCTTTACCACGTATAAAAACAATACGTGTTTATTGTCCAATAACTTGAAAGTGAATAAAAGAACGACTTCTTTAGATATTCGATATTAACAATAGAATATGCAGATGTACATTTTTTTATTTATCATATGGGATTTTGTTACAATTTATAGATAACTATGTTGTTTAAGTGTGGTCTGTGCGCCCTCCTTTCTGCCAAGGAGGGTCGCGTCCGTGTACGGCTTAAAGATCTCTCGTCAGATCAGTAAGCCAATCCATAAAGGTGGGGTTTAGTGGGTAAAAGTCTCCACATAACCACGCAGCCGGCTGCGTGGTATGCTATGAGCATTCCCCACCTCCCTCCCCCCGCTTTCCGGAGGGTTGCCCATATTTGCTTCGGGCGCAAAAAAAAAGTGTGGTCTCAAACTTTTGGCCGGCAGTGTATATCAATTTTTTACCACGCTCTGTAGCTTAAACGGCTTGATGGATTTTAATATATGAGGTGTCGTTACATTCGTCTTAGTTCCAAAGCGACATATAGTATAAAATTTTTTCATTTTCATTAAACTTTTTTACGGAGCCTGGTTATTTTAATAATGTTTTAACCTTTAAGCTGTTACCCGTTTGCCATAGAAGGAGGATAATTTCAATTTATTTGGCACGCTCTGTAAGCTTAATGAATTCATGGATCCTCATATGGGATGTCGTTAGAATCTTCTTATTAGTAGAAGTAACATAGGATATAAAACTTTTCTCTTTTCAGTTAACATTTTTACGCAGTCGAGTTTTTTAAATTACTGTTTCAACCTTTGGACTTGTTCAATGTAACTCTTACATTTTTAGATAAAAATTCAATAAAAGGTGACCGTGCCAGCCAAACGCTTTTAGTACGACCCTCATGTAACTTTAAAAATACAATTATTATTATAAGTCTTGTTCCTATGGAATATACTCTATTAATACGACAAAAGTAGCACAATGTCGAAAAAAGACAAAAGATATATACATCCTCCATCTATTTCTCATAAAACTCAGTGAATTTCAACAGTTGGGCACTTTTCATTCGTTCAGCAATTTCAGATGGTTATATTTAGCTTCTTTAATATCATCATAAAGCATGTATGGCTACAAAAAAGTAGAGTTTCTTCTAGAGTCCTATTTCGGACCATAGAAGTAGTATGAAGCAACAATGGGAAATGTCTCAAATAACTCAAAGAAATAATACCGCCACCCATCGGAAGCCTAAGTTCTATTTGACTTATTGGTAACTTTTTCACTACCCACGAAACGAAATGGGCTGATGTATATCATATTGGGTATAATAAATTTAAAAGAAACAAACAATTTTTAATTTTTTAATTTAATATTGTTGCGCGCCTAAGTTGACGTCATGTACCCGGCACTAGCGCCATCTGTGTCGGGTAACGGAGCGAGGAGAACTTTCCAGAAAATGACATCACTAATCTTTCAACAGACAGCGCCATCTAGTGTCGAAACGAAGAACTAAGCTTCTAGAAGCCAACACTCCAACTTTCGACGCCTTGCGCGTATTTACTTGAATGTTCTGGATGATTCAGTACTAAGGTGTATTTATAGGCGCTGCAAGGTGCGATCGGGGAAGTATTGAATTTGGCGAGACAAGCGAAGCTTCGGAGCGAAATAAAGCGAATCAGTGTGGTTAATTATTAGTGTTTTAAGTTTTAATTAGTGTAAAGTGAATTAAAGTGTAAATCTTGGTAATTAAATCAGCAGTTTTTATTGTCACGAACCTCAAGCTCGTACAATATTATTTCGGCTGGCTTATCCGTTGGGATTTGGCTATTACTCTGGTTCTACTGCGAATATATTTTTTACGCTCTTACAATTAACTATTTAGTTCGCTATATATTTTATAGTTTCCAACTTTGCCGTTAAAGCCGTTAGCGGTGTAAAAGAATCCACTACCTTTATATTCCCGTGGATATCTCAAAAGGTATCAGCATCTTAAGATACCCACGGGAAATCAAACGGGAGACGGGCAGCAGCATTCTCAATGAAAGAGCCTACTCTTTTTTAAAGGCCGGCAACGCACCTGCAATTCCCCTGGTGTTCCAGTTGTTCACGGGCGGTGTCAGTTACTTACCATCAGGTGAACCACATGCTCGTTTGCACGCTCTTATATAAAAGGACATTAAATAATAAAATACGACGATTTTCAACATGCATATCAAGCATGGCTATTACAGCAATTATCCCCCATGAGCTAACTATAAGGGAGTCCTATTTTCAGCAGTAAACTCTTGATAGACTGTTGACGAATCAATGAACTAAGTCATTTGATATATTCATGTGCGACAGTATTTACGGCTTTTTTTAAGTTCCGAAAATTGGGATTATTTATATGATGTGTTATACTATTTTATCCATTAAAATAATTAACAAATTTTTTAAATGGATAAAATTAACAATATGGTTAGTTAAATTAAATATATATATATATATTAGAAATTAAAACATCGATGTTAAAACATGTTTTAATCAAACTAAAAATCGTAACATCGATGATGCCACATGTCAAACATCGAAACATCGATGTCAATGAGCCAATAATTGATTAATAAGAACTTGTGAACAATGTGAACCCGCGAAATCAATATCAACTAAATATTTCATCTCCTATTAAAGGTTTAAAATTTTGAATAATTTAGGATACTTAAAGGCATCAATCACCTGAAAAATATCATGATGTTGTGTGAAACTCCCTCTCAAGTGTGAACCGTAATGTCATAGTTGTCACTGCTTTCGCTTTGTTATTCTGTGGTATCATTGTCGCCTGAAAACTATTCTACATAAATGGATATACAAATAATGTTTTTCTCTTGCTGTCTATACACTCATAATTTTGAAACAATATGAATATACACAATCCATTTATATTTAGCTGTTTTTTCAGCTAATGAGTTTATTGTTTGCTTGAAGTTTATGAAAATAAATCACTGGGCGATTGTGAGCATAGACAATTTCACTGCATAGTGCATTTTACAGTGCATTTTATAAACGGCTGTGGATACTTACTGTTTGGGCTGTCTGAGAAAAAATAGTGAACAAAGGTGACGGAAAAGTCTAATATTTTGTTTTTGTGAAGTTTGCTAATTCGCCCTCTATAATCATATTTTTTATTTCGAGATAGGTGTGGTTATTATAGAACCTACGTCTAAATCGTAAATTAGGTGTCATAGTAAATTTTTTCGTAGATTTTTGGTTGTATAGGAACATTTGAAGATCAAAATAATAACGTTAATCATTATCGGCAAAAAATATAACAAATGAACTAAACATTTGTTAAGTTTTGCCCATTTTTTTAATTACTATATAGCACTAAATGTTTTTCTTTCATTTCATTAATAATAAACTATAAACTACACTATTAATTTTTTGTTCATCTAATTTTAACCTAATAATTAGGTACATGTGCAATAACATCGATAATGGCCAACATCGATGTTTTAAGTAGGATAAACATCGAACATCGATGTTAAGCTATCGATATCAACATCGATGTCATCATCGATGTTTCTGCAACATCGATCATCCCTAGTGTAAACACCGTTGTCACTAAAATCATACGTAGTTGGCTTTAATATAAAAATATTTATCCGAATTAAAAAA